TTGGGAGGCCCACGAGTTGGAGCAAGAGAAGGGAACGGAGGGGACGCGGGCAGCCCTGCCACCGTTACCTGAGGCACGCACAAGCTGCCGCGGTGACCACCATCGCTGGTGGCCCAGTCCCCTTCTTGGTCACCGCGGCCACCACCGCCACCAAAGCAACTGACTCTAACAAGTAACTACTGGCCCCCACCGAGTCCACCCGGCCGTTCTCAGCCTGCCCGCCTCCGCGCAGCTCCGAGTACCGCCCATCCGCGCGCGCACTCGGAGGCGAGCTCCTGGAGGAGCGAGTACGCGCGCCCACGGGCCCTTGACCCTCTGTAGGCAACTTAGTCCCGCGGAAGGAGTTATCGTGTCCCTCTCCCACGTTCCTACCTCAATAAAATGAGGTCCAGAGGGCTCCTGTTTGGCTCAGGAGGTTGGGATGAAGGGACATTTCGGTTCAAATAAGTTCCTGAGGTATTGAGCCAGTGTCAGAGCCCCTCGGTCAGCCTGCGGTGGAATACATAACTTAGGTTTTCAAGGACGCCAGCATACAGTAATTGCCAATTCAAGCCCCAATACTTCCTGCAGGCCTTAGCAATTAAAAACACTACATCTCCCAGAAACCTCCGCGAAAGTGAGGCTCACTTGCGTAACCACGTTGGCCTTCGTCGCATTTGAACAAAATAATCCCTTCATTTTTCTGAAGGTGTCGGGCATAGTATTTCATTTTCTCCTCACCGAAACAACTTTAAGTATTGCGATAACAGAAGTTGCCTGTGGAAAGGTGTTTAAGACGATAAGGTAAACGGAAAGAAAGGACATCATAATAAAGTACTGCGGAGGAATTTTTCTCCAGCTGTGAGACGCCGGGGAAGAGTGAATGCGATTGAGAGAGGCTCAGAGAATTGTCCTCTGTACTGGGGACATTCTTTAGCTCCAGGTTCCTGCCTAGCCCCATCGTCAGCAGGTCAGTAAGCAAGGCGAGTTTGGGGATGGCCACAGTGGAGGTGCCCTTCACTCTCTTTTGCCATTGTTAATTGGCTTGTCTTGGTTTGAAGTTGATTGAATGGAGGCCCCTCACTTCCGGTTGGGGGAGGGGAGGAAGGCAGTCCTCAGGGGAGGAGGAAACATAACTCACTTCCTGTGGGGTTAAAGTGATGGTAGGGTGTCCTACCCACAACCTGTAGCGGCTAGGGCTTGAAAAGGTGATACTTGGTGCCATTTGCACAGACTATGTTTTCAAGTTTTGGGGATTATGTCTTATGTGAAAAGTTTGTTTATTAAACCAGTTTGTGTTGCTAATGTTCCACCCTCAAGTCAAAATTTATGTGAGGTTTATTTCAGCATGCAAGATGGAATATTTCCTCCTCGACAAAATTTTTCTTAATGCGTTCTTAAAAGAATTCTAAACCCCTTGTTAAAATTATCTATTCATCTCTGCAAGATGACACACTTTCTTGTGTGACTCATAATTGCCCACCTCTGCTCCTTACAGTCCAGCGCTCACCTAATGAGGTGTGTGTGTCACTATCTTGGCATGCTACAGGAACTCTGTAGCTACAGCTTATTACAGCACTCGATATTTTACATAAATTATGAGGCATATTCACCTTACATCAGTGGTTCTCATTCTGTTTCTTTGTTATGGAGTGAGGCCACAACATTAGTAACAAAGAAACAGAATTTCCGGAGGCTGAGGCCCAGAAATCAGGATTTTAAAAAGATTCCCAGGTGATTCTAATGTGCAGCCAAGGTTGAGAACCACTGCTTTACCGGAATGAAAGTATCATACTGAAGTACTCACCTGCATGGTATTACCTTAACTAAAATGATTGGTATCTTATATTCTTAGACTTGTTGATTTTAGGCTACAGATTCTGCCCTGTGCCTAAGAACAACTTATTCATGTAAATTCTTACATGTAACACATAGTTTTTGTGAAAGTTAAACTTGAGCACACTTTTCCTTTTTGTAATTTAATTAAATTCAGATAGATTAAAAAATGATATCTAGTTTTAAAGCATGGTACAAGGATGAGATTCAGCTCAGATTTTAAGGGCGGGGGGGATTGGCTTACAAAGGACAAAAGGTGAATACATCTATTTTTCCTGTATTCTCATTGTTTTATAAGAAACTATATGCAAAGTGGTAATAAACACTCAACAGTTTTGATCCCGTGGCTTCTATTTTCAAGTACCACAATACTTGAGTATATGGATGTGTACTGAAGGAATCAATCAGTATAGAGCTTAGGAAATCTCAACAACTTTAGTAATTTTAGAATATCTGTCAAATGAACTGTAATGTCTTTCAAGAATTTTTAAAAGAATAAAGCCTGTGTATATTCTCCTTTTGGATTCTTATCTAATTTATCCTTAGAATTTGCAATTATTTTAATTCTAGTTCCTTTAAAAACTTATTTGGTTTAGAGTTTATTAGAAAATATGTTTTTAACTAAATGTTACAGTAAAAGGAAAAAATATATGTTTTAGCCTTCTGTAAATATAAAGGATCTCAGATCCTAAAATCAATGAGTTATCTTTTTAAAGACTACAAAATTTCTGCAGTGGTTGAAAAGGTGAGACAAAATAATGTCTGTTATTATAAGGTTAGGGGCATGTAGACTGCCTCAAGCAAGTATTAACTAATTGATTAGAGAGAATGTGTTCACTCTCTTCTTTATTAGTGTAATGTATGATCATTCTGACAAAGTAAACTATAGTATTAGGATTATTGAAGTAAGTAAAGGTTATGGAGCTAACTTGAAAAGATAGAGAAAGATATTAAAATTTTGATTGAGATACATTGATATTACCTTTTGGAAACTGTCTTTGGGAAGCAAAGGAGTTTTTTAAATTGGTTTCTATGCTATTCCATGGAAGAAATGCACATAAATAAAAATTGCTGCAGCTGAAAGACTTGATAAGTGGCAGTTATTTATTGTTTCCATCAGATAAATATTAGGAAAGCTTATGAAAATATAAGGTAAGTCCATGGAAAAGTGTTCCTGTGGAGAGGTTTACTATCTTCCAAAGGCTTCTTTTTAAATATTTTTTATTGTAGTTTTCATTGCATTTTTAATAGAAACATACTATCAAAATTAGAAAAATGCTTCTGTAAGTGTGCTCTTATTATCTTACAGTTAATAAATTTGAGATTTTTCATTCCATTGCTCTTGTTATCTTAGTTAATAATTTGAGATTTTTTATTCATTTCATTGTGCATTTTTTAGAGTATTTAGATTAGATAATCATTTTCTTTTCCAAAAGTAGTCATTGAATACACTGGTCACAACAGTTTGAAATATTAAAACAGTAAGTCAAAATTCTGGATTCCATCACACTGAAATTTGATTAACAATTAACCACAGAGTGCTAGAAAAAGTGTCTTTTTATTCTTTTCTCACCATTCTTTATAAAGTCATGCTAATGTTTTACAGCTATTGCTATTTGTTTATTGTTTTAGTAGTTTTTGCCATGAGGCCCAGTGTTAAAGAGTATATCCTAACAATTTGAGTGTTTTTTCAAATTTACTCCACTACTGTCCCTTACATGACTTTTCCATTATTTCAACACTAGAGGCCCGGTGCACGAATTCGTGCACCAGTGGGGTCCCTCGGCCTGGCCTGCGGGATCGGGCCAAAACTGGCTCTCCGACATCCCCTGAGGGTTCCAGATTGCGAGAGGACGCAAGCCAGGCCGAGGGACCCCACCGGTGCACTATCGGGGCCCGGGAGGTTGCAGGAGGTTGGCCAGCCTGGGAGGGACCGAGGGAGGACCCCAGGGCATGTCTGGCCTGACTCACTCAGTCCCTATTGGCCAGACGCCAGCAGCAAGCTAACTACCGGTCAGAGTATCTGCCCACTGGTGGTCAGTGCACGTCATAACAAGCAGTTGAGCAACCTTAGCATATCATTAGCATATTACGCTTTGATTGGTTGAACAGATGACTGGACGACCAGACACTTAGCATAATAGGCTTTTGTTATGTAGGAAAAGTTTATTGACTGCGTATTATGTGCTAATCACTGTTCTAAGGACTTAGAATAATACATCAGTGAATACAGACAAATATCCAAATTCTCTTGAAGTTTACTCTAATTTCCAAATTAAAACTGGAATTTTGCTCCCTTGGTATTCCTAAGTAAGGTCTATGGTATGGTCATTTTTCAAATTGAGTCAAGAAGCTGCCCTAACCTTGCTCTCTCTTGGTGTTGATCTCTTAAGCCATTTTAAACCCAGTTTTGAATATTTCAGCCTAGTTTTTCTCCAGACCTTATAAACCTATGTGTTGAATATTCAGCCCTTTTCATTGACACATGTGTGGTAATCCTACCACCCTAGAATCATTTGTATGGTAAAAACAAATCAAAGTGAATACTGGGAAAAATGTGGAATCAGGCTGGACTTGGTTCAAAACTGGTGTCGACATTTTACTATCTAAGCTTACTAGCTTGGCAACCTTGAGCAACTTACTTGACCTACCTGAGCCTCAGTTGCCATAAACCTAAATGGATTTATTCAGTAAATCAAGGATATTATATAAAACACCTACCACAATGCCTGGAGTAAGGAGCATAATGAATGCTATCATTTTCCCCTCAGTCTTACTTCTGCTATTCTGTCTATTGGGATTTGCCCACATATTAAGCCTTACATATTCCCAGAAGGATGGGATACAGTACATACTAGGACTATTGAAATTCTTCTGTCTCTCCCTAACAACATGCTCACTTAACTGTCAAAATTTTTAGTTTCTTGTGGAAATGAGATATCATTAATTTCAGTGGTCACTTTAGAAAATATACAAAATAGAAAAGTTTTAAGAAATGGTTTGGTGAGGAGTCACCAAAGTAATTTGAATTATTATAGGAAGATATTTAAACCATTCTTCTAATGCTAAGCCTAATATTTAATGTCTTTCACAATATGACCATATCTCTAATTACCTACTTACGTATCCCTAACTGATTGGTTTCTGAAAAAAGAAATTCAGTTCTGTATCCAGTCTTTTCTATCTTTGTTTATGCTATTTTCTGCCTGAAAAACTTTCTCTTTTCCCAAGAATCTCTATCAAAATGCAACTTTCTTCGGGCCCCTTTCTCAAGTACCACCTTCAACTTCAAGAAATATTTCCTGATGTCTGTCTTCTTTTTCCACTCTCTCAACCATATATGCTCTGTTCATTGACCCTCCATTTTGTTCTTTTCTTATGGGATTTACTATATAGTGCTGTCACTATTGTTGTTGTTTGTTTTTGTCATTGTTATTGTATATAGAGTTTATGTACTGCCATAAAAGGCTTCAGACTCTATCTCAGTCCTATTTGTGTCTCCTGTCATACCTGGCCCAATGCCATTCAAATCATAAATATTCAGTAAGAATTTGTGGAGTTGAACTGGCACTTGGGGTAAGATAAAACTAATCAATAAGTTTTATCCATTATTTATGCCCAACATTAAGCATAAAATACAGACTCAAATATCAAGTGAAAGAGTGAATAAGTCATCATTTTTTCATTTGTGGGTATCTCAGGGTGTCAGTATGTCGATGAGCATATATTAACCACCTACGTATGAGCTGAACTATGAGAACTGATCCCTGCCCTCAGTTTAATTGGAAAGAAGTTGTAATTAATTTGTGCAGACTCTGAAAACTGCAGGTATTTGAGTGAAGGTGGTTGTCCATGTCAGTATAGAGTTGTTTGCATTGTGAGAGATATCCCAGGCTATCTGAACTGAGAAACAATAGATTTGAATATCAAGAGATAATTAACTTGCAATTCCACTCCTAGGTATATAAACCCAGGAGAATTGGAAATATATTCACACAAAATTTTTTACATGAATGTTTATAGCAGAATTATTCATAAGATCCAAAAATTAGAAATAAACCCAAATGTTCATCAATTAATGAATGAATAAATAAAAAGCACAGTCATACAATGGAATAAGCAATGAAGTAGTGA